CCCCCCCCCCCCCCCCAAAAAAAAAATTTTGTAGGATTTTTAGTCTATTTGCTTGAAATTTTTTAAGTATGAAAATTAGTTTGCTTACTTTTTCTCTTTTAATGATTGGGTATATCCATTTTGTCTATTAGACAGCTCCCTTGTAAGTTCATTTTAAAAAATTTGCAACTTTTGTCTTGCAATTTTCTCAAAGTACTGAATTGACCTCATAAACGTGTCAGATTTCATTACCTGGGTGTATATAGCGAGTGCATTCTGGTCCTGGACTCGTAGTTTGTACTCGTGAAATGTATATGAAATTATCTCTGCTGTTGAACTGCTCATGTCCTTGTGTTGTGTCAAGACTGAGAAGCATATATAAATTTTTCTATTTGATTACGTTCTGGATATTATCTGAATCCAGTCTATATTCACATCCATTGATATACATTATTTGCTCCAATGGTTTGTGATTCCCTTGTTAATTATGTGTGTAAATGATTCATGCCCACATCTGGTACATCATAACATAAAAAAATAAAAAATAAAAACTCAGAACCGAATGGGCTTTAAGCAGATTAAGGTAGTGGAAAAAAGCAATAGCAAGTAGTATGTTTCTAGTATAGACTTTCGTATATTCAATTAGTCTGACAAATTCACATATTATTTGTATTTAGATGATATTTCCAATTTGGAATACATTATTTTATTTAAAATAAAAATGGATGGCAAAGCAGAGTCACTTCGATTCAGATGTCAAAATATCTGTTTACACTCTTAACTATGATGTAGGATTTACACTGTTCATTGGTCTTCGAAAGGAACGAGGAAGTGAGCAAAAGACCCAAAACACGTTAACCCACGCCATCCTCTCTGCCCCTTCATAAATAACGGACTTACCTTAAATTAGCTGCAATATATTGTGTAATTATCTTGCTTCTTTAAATGCAACTTCACATTCAAGCCCCAGTTTCCAAATTTCAAAGTAAAGGCAGTAAGGATGAGTAATTGATGACAATGGAGCAAAACTCTGCGCGGCCGTCTCTCATCCATCTGTTTTTCCTTGAACTGCAGAGCTGGGGATTCTGTTTGGTAATAATAGCTGCCGGCATCAGAAGCAATTGAAGCACAATGGAGGTATATGGAAGTTCCATGGTTGTCGAGAACAGCAATGTGATTTTTTTGTCCACTATACTGAACAAGGAAGGGCCAATCCATTATCACAAATGTGACATTAGATGCCAAAATGAACACATTTTTGGGAATATGTACCAATGCAAACTCACAGGCATTACACATATATGTGATAAAAATTGTAACCAGAGAATTTTATATGACAATCATAGCTCTCTTTGCAGAGTGAGTGGCCAGATTTTCCCTCTCTCGCCAGATGAAGAGCAGGCGGTGAGAGGACTTCGAAGGAAGCTCGAAGTAGAGAGTTCAGGTTCTGATGGCTGCGCTCCTAAGCGCAGGCGGGGTGCTCAACTGCATCCTTCTCCTTTTGAGAGGTCTTTTTCTGCTGTTTCTCCAATCTGCAGCCCAATTGGAGATGGCATGGACATGAACTAGTGTTCAAGTTCCCCTCATTTCTAGTTCCTTCATTTTCACCCCTATTTGCTCTCTTCCATGGTAAATGGAATGAACAAGTACTATATTAAGACTTGAAGTGAGCCTAGCATGCTCCAGAGATGTAGGTTGTTTGGGACAATATTCATGTAATATCTTACTTCTTAGGGACTTACGGAACATTGGTAAACTTGTCTTTCGATCTTATTTGGGATCGTCACCAAGTTCTCTGTCAATTTAGTTGTGTTGATTTAATAATTGCTTCTTTCCTAGATTATTAGTTGATGTTGGGAGAAATTTAGTCTTTAGCTTATAGTTCAAGTCTTGACTATTATTGTTGGATGTGCTGACATCTTAATTCTTATATTGAATTGTTGATGTCGTTTTAATTTGCTTACCTATATTGTTATGATACTTGTTTTAAATCGTTAGTGTTTGTAATTTTAACTAGATTAGCAAATGTTTATGCTGTGTTTCCTTAATCTTTGACCTTTTCCATTCTGTTCTGTTGACGGGTCTATTTATCTGAAGCAAGAAATGCTGATTTTGCAGGGTTCATTGTTTTAGATAGTTATGCTTTGTACTACTAAAATTGTCAAAATTTCAGGTTATTCTATAATAATTCAGGCTAATGGAGGCATATTTTCTTTCAGTTTTTCCCTTCATGTTGTTTATACCGAAAACTGATCCTTAACTCTTTAAGTTATTTTGCAGGAAATTCCTAGGTTTCGCAGATTGGAGAAATTGTGTACTGCTTTATTAATCGCTTTTCTATTACCATATCTAGGAGTTCAATAATTTTAATTTGCTTTTGTAGGTCTGAAGTCATCTCCAATTGAGTCCCAGTTTAAGAAGTTGTATGAATGCAGCACGACCGTGGAATGAAGATTTGATGTATTTCAGTGACGATCCTTCAAGTACTTGACAAAAAGTTCGGTATGGGACATCATTTTGTTTCTACTGACTTAGCTTTCATTTACGTTGTGGTGTTTCAAGTCTGAGGATAGCCTTCTGCCATATGAAATTTTTGGAGTTCTATGTACTAGCAATTCCTACTGATAAATTCGGCAACTTCTGTATCCAAGCCATTCCTCACGTGCTTCGTTGAGTCTGTGTTTATGTGCTGCCAATTTGGTAAACATCTTCCCCAAAAATGTATTTTGGTTTCAAATTGTTACATGTATTTCTTTCTTTTTTTTTCTTTTTTTCTTTTTTTGTTTGAGTACCTTAATTGGAATTTCTATAGAATGGCACCTGATGCACGAGCATAATCATGAATTCTGATCACGTTTTCACACATCATAGGATTCATGTATCCTTCATACATTGAACAATATTTATGCTATGTCAATCTTGGACACTTAAAAGTAAACTTCTGATATCAAAGTGCATTGTGATACTTCTTTTGTTATTCATCTATTTTATTGATTTCATGGTTGGTTGTTGGGATATTGTTCTCTCATATCTAGAAAATGTGTGCTGGCAGCATCTCTAATTGCATTGTCACGGTGCCAGTGCTCCCTCTGCTTTTGTTATCTCTGCACGTTTTTTATTACGCAGGAGCAAACTTTGGTGGAAGTTTGAGTATTTTAGCTGCATCTGCGTATTGGTCATTAGTTGCAATCTTTGCCTGTTAGTTCAATAATTCTTTTTGGAAACATAGTGATTTGTAAATTAGAGTGAAGCATGCGTTTGCAATGTTTTTATGAATTATATGTCCATGGAAATTTGTTGAAAATTATCGATGAAGTTCTATTTGTAACCAGCATAGAGTTTTTATGAATTATATGTCCACGGAAATTTGTTGAAAATTATCGATGAAGTTCTATTTGTAACCAGCATAGAGCAAGTTGTTCTTCCTTGTCGCTTATAATTTTCTTAGTTTGAGAGGAAAGGTGATCATCCAACCTATGTTGTTTTCTAAAGAACACCCTCCTTTTGCATCTTTTTGTTACCGCCGCTATGCTCGAGTTATGCACCAAGGCGTATTGAAAAGTGAAATTAACCCGAGAAAAGTTATGATAAAGAAAGGAGAAAAACATTACTATAGACAAGAGCTAATAATGAAATATAACCGTTTGAAGGTTCTTACGAGGGTATATTATACGTAGGCGAGGGTATTTTAGAGATGGAAGAAAATAATATAGCTGAGGGTATTTTAGGGATAGAAAAAAAGTAATGGTGCCGGTTAGGAGCGCAGACAAAAGGGATGAGGGAATCCAATAACTTTAAGCGGTTTAAAAAAAAAAAGAAGAGAAGTATTTTGGTAGCTGATGTCAGTACTGACGTTTCGGTGGCAATAATCACTCTTCGTGCACTTGTATCATATGCCTCAGTCGCTATTTCGCACTTAAGTTCAAAACCAAAACCCCCTCAAGTAGGTTGAAATGCAACGACCAAATAAAAAAAGGAAAACTATTTTGAATCCATCAATTCAAAAAATAATAATAATAATAATATCAATACAAAAATAGGAAATAATCCAAATAAAAATGAACTTATATGCCAAGTTGATTATTTCTCAAAATTTAATTATGTAAAATAAAAAATAATATGGTTTAATGATGTAGAGTGCAGACCATAAATTCTACAGCATATATAATACAAATTGATATAAGAAATTTAGAAATACAATAAAATATCTAATAATAATAATAATATCCTAGTTAGCTACAAGATCCAACAAACGCGTGCTAATTAACAGCGTTAAATTATTTATTATTATTATTATTATTTTCAATTTTTAGTTTTCTAACGGATGCTATGGTATGAAAGAGAAAATGAATAAATGAACAGCAAATGAGTACTTCTGATTTGTACTAATTTCTCTCATTATCTTTCCTCTCTCTCCGTCATCCTGTAACGACGGATTTATTTTTTATTCACGTAATTAAAGTTTAGGCATTAATATGTCCAGTTACAATAATAAGAAAGCTTTGGCTTTCACTTAATTCTTACAACAAATCAAGCGGCGTTACAAGAAGACAATCTCATTATATATGTATCTTTACAATTACAACAACAAGATCAGCCTACTGAGCTTTGATCGCTGATCTCGGACCAATAATCCTCTTCGCCTCGTTCAACTCCTCCATCAAGACCCTAATTCTCCGGCGAAACTCCATCGCCTGAACCACCGCCTCCGCCTCGAGCTCTCCGAGCTGCGAGCAAAGCATCTCCTCCGCCTCCTCCACCGCCTTCAGCCTCTCCTTCGTTCTCTCCAATTCCCTCCTCATCTTCTCTTCCCTCTCCTCTCTTTCTCTCACTTCCCTCTGCAGCTCCTCGTTTTGACGACGGAGATCCTCAAACCCCGGCTTCAAGGGCATTCTGGGGATTTGAGCTTCGGTGGTGAAAGCCATTGCCGGAGCCATGGAGAGACTCAAAGGCTTTGTTATTTGGTAATGAGAGGGTCGAGAGCTGCAAGTATTTTGGAGTGTGTTGTCGTTGGTCCAGTATCGAGCCGTTCAATATAAATAGAGGCGGGGAGCAATGGAATTATGTCTAGGTTCAATGTATGTGGAATGTGAGCCAAGTGGCTGCTTATATTATTGAACATGGAGGCCGCCCGCGAAAAGAGAGCAGGGGGGGACAAATTGATTTTTATGCTATTATATATGTATTTACGGTTTGAAAAATACACCAAGGACCCAAAATATGAGGCCAAAATGAGGGGACAAGTGAGGTGTCTCTCTCTTGTTGCATAATAAGCCGGTCATCATTAATGATTTGCATTAATTTTTATGTCCAACAGGGGAGACAAGTGATGTGTCCCCCTCCTATTGTACAATAATATCTAGGGGTGAGCACGGTTCGGTTCGGGTCGGTTTTTATCAAAATTTGAACAACCGAACCGAACCACCTACAATTCAAACCGAACCGAACCATTACAAATCGGTTCGGTGCGGTTCGGTTCGGTTTGTTCGGTTCTAACTTCATCAAGTATAACTTCACTTCAATTTATCTTTTATATATTATTATTACCCTATGCCAACATTATTTGTTTTTTAACTTCACTTCAATTTATTATTCTTGCTCATGTATGTATACTGTTTTTAAGTGAAGTAACTTATCCTTTTGAATTAAATACTAGACTCTGACGTTGTAATTTTTTAGTAACGGACTTGCTTTGTCTTTGTGTAGCAAGCTTTGAGTTTGGTCTTTGTGGAGACAAAAAAAGGAGCTGACTCATTAGAACATTGGTTATGTATGAATCAATTCCCTGCAACTGCTATCATGGTGATCGAACACAGTAATAAACCCACAAATCAAAGGCACAAATATATTCGGTTGGTTCGGTTCGGGTCGGTTTGAAAAATTGTCAACCCGACCCGAACCGCCTTACTCATAAAACCGCTTTTTTCGGGTCGGTTCGGGTCGGTTCGGTCGGTTTTTTCGGTTTGAACCCAACCGTGCTCACCCCTAATAATATCTCACTTGTTCCTCTTGTTGGTCACATATTTTGTGTTCATGTAGCAAAGCTCTTTTATCATATGCTCATGGCCCCCCTGATTTGCATTAATTTTTGTGCATAATTCATTTATCTCTATCTCTCCCCTCTCTTATAGAAAAACCGATGTACTTACTGCTCACGGATAAATGCATTTAAGAGTATGGTGGACATATCAAAGACCATCCATATCATATTGCATGAGAAAAATAAATAAGATTAAGTACCAATGATATGTGATACAATACCTATATAAAATAAATATTTCAAGTCAGAATACAACGATGTGAATGTTAAGCATGCATACTTGAATTCTGATTTGATTTTTCTTAAATTATGAAAACTTACTAATTTAAATTAGTACTGTTAATTTGATCGATATAGATATACTGGATACGTGGATATAGACGGACTATTTACTGAAAACAAAGGGTTGGAGATGTTGGGGGTTTGTATTTTGCTTTTTGCACCCTCTTACTTTTCTGTATTAGGCAGTGGTTATTCTGTTGAAATGGATTTGGACCATAAAAATTTTATGTCTTTGGATCGTTGGCACTTGGCAGTGTTGATAGTGATTGCAACAAGTTGTCCTGGTGTGTGCCCTACTTGTTTCGTACGAATCTTTAGAGAGACGCCGCACGTGGTGATAATTGTGCCCACATGAAAATCTATACTACTTAAAAAAGAATACACATGTCAAAACTTTTGATTTTTTATTTTGCTCTTTTAAAATTTGATATTTCACAATTATACAAATAGTTATAACTAATCCTTAAAAATAATTATCCATAACTCTTTACTAAATGCACCTCCTACTCTCTCTCAAAATATTTAGTCAATAATATAATTATTATCAATAGTTTACAATCTAATACTGCACACAAATGCTTAGGTCTATCTTTAGAATTTTAGAATGTCAATGTTCACTTTTCGGACTATTTTAATTGCATGTTTTGAGGGACATCAAAGTTGAAATCAAAAGTTTTGAGGGACATACTCTCCTCTCCAAGAAGTTGAAACGATTGTTTTGAGGGACATCAAAGTTTAAGTCATTGGAGGACAAGAATTTTATAGAGACAACCTAATATGTAGAATTAGAGGATGGTGCACATCATTCTACATTGCTTTGTGTCTTTTGAGCACCAGTTGCTAATGAGTCCAAAATTTCTGCTCAAGACTATAAATTTCTTCCCAATCAGTCGCACAATAGTATAAGACGGTTAATCAAATAATTATAATAACAAGATATAGAGTCTAAACTTTTAAAATTCAATTTGAATCAATGCATAAACTACGAACCAAATTAACTAACAAACAACACTTTTTATTTTTATATAACTTCTCTTTCATCTCTTGAGTATAAATTAGCTCACACATTTTCTTCCACTCATTTTTATATAACTTCTCTTTCATCTCTTGAGTATAAATTAGCTCACACATTTTCTTCCACTCACCATAATACCTACTAAACTTCTCTTTCATCTCTTGAGTATAAATTAGCTCACACATTTTCTTCCACTCACCATAATACCTACTAAGTCAAATTCATACAATTACAAGAGAAAAGCTCAACTAAAACTCCGCTTGGATTAAAATGTGACATTTAACAGAGCACAAGATGTCAGCTTCTTTTAAGGATCAAATTTGCTCAAGCATGTTTTAGCATGGTATGTTCCTCTATAATTCAATTAAAATTTTGAAAATGTGTTTCGAAACTTGATTATTATAGAAATGAGTCAATTTGGTATAATTTAAGTTGCTACAATCAATTTGATGATTAGTTTTCTTTTTGGAGACATTGTGTTCACTCGAATTTCAAAATGTATTATAAAGTGTCTAAAACGAGCAGATGTATCTTGATATCTCATTAGATTAAATACTTTTGAAATTCAACTCGCTAAACGCATTTCACAGTGTAATTTGAAAATACATTGTACCAAAAAAATCTATGA